TCACTGCAGCACACGGGTTTCCACCCATGGTGGCGACCAACCTCACCGCCTGCCTCTCATGGAGCGAGTCACGGCGTGTTTTTTGGAATGCCGGATGACCCATAAGGGACCCGGATGGCACACTTGGCTGTGCAACACCAAGAAGCACGTTATGTATGTGAGCTACATACACACTTCATGAAGTGAGACCCATGATGGGTGAGGGTTTGGTGATGTCTAGTGATGTCTGGCGTCATGACGCATTTTCCTCGGGATGCGGATGGGACCCTGTGCAACACGGACAGGCGGCCCACGGTTCCCCCCCTGGGGAACAGGGCGGGGATGAGCGGACTGGACCGTGAAACGCAGGGTCGAAGAGACCCATGATGGGTTCCAGCACGTTGTTTCAGTTCGACCCTTTATGCCCCAGGAACCGAGACCCAGAGAAAGCGAGAATATTCCCATGAGCGAATCCAGCTCGGTTGGAATCAACTGGTGAGTATATACCAAACGGGATTATCACCCAACTAAAGCTAAACGTTCTAGTGACTAGTTGAAATATCCTAAACACATGTTTGATGACATCAGATGGAATTCCTATCATTTTACACCCCCATTCAGGATGGATGGCAAGCTCACCCTGGCAGCCGCCAGCATCCGCCAGAAAAAGAGAGCCCCGTTTACCACCAACAGCAGCACCACCAGCAGCACCAGCCCGCTTGGGCCCGAGCACTCACAGAGGAACGAGCCCTCGGTACTTCGATGTGGTCAGCTCCAGCCGTTGGACGCCCAAAGGATCCGCGGATCCGCGATCTGGGAGTGGTGGAGATAAGGAGACTTTCGCTGTACCACTTTTATTTTGTTTTGGGTTCAACAGGGATGTGAATTTCAAGATGCATCCTGAGTCTTGACTGTAAGGTCACTTGATCAAGGGAGGCCTTCAATTTGTGTTTGTGCGGATCGGGTGACTGAACATTTTCCATGTTGGATGAATCCTCTTCCTTGGGAAACAGTTTTTTCGCTTCTTGTGACGTTCGTAGTAATGGCCTCCATCCCAAAAACGCGATGGCCTCCATCCATAGCTTCTCTTGTTACGTCCGTATGGCCAGGAGCTACGCCTCGTTGGCCTCGTTGGGCGTCCGATCCGCTCCGTTCGGAACGGCGTCTGCCGACTCTGGGAGACCCGACAGCCGGAGTTCCGTACTCGGGTGTTTGAAAAAGGTACGGTCGTGGCGCCATGTGGCATGCCTGGCCATGTGGCATAGTGCTGTTAAACATCTATCTATCTATATAATTCTCTATATTATATATATATAGATGTGACAAGCCTTGCTGTTGAAAGCCTTGCTGGTTGGTGACATCTATGACCGTAGCCGTGCCATTTCGGCTTCCGGATGCTCGAAGCATGACATTAGCCTCGTTTTGGACGGAGGACGTCGGTGTGTTCCAACCATCCAAATGCTAGCCATGAGAACATGACATAATAAGTTTATACTTAACTTAACATACGTCTATAAAATACATCTACTGTGTCTCATCCCAAAAGCAAAACTGTGTTGATGGCATTGTGAGCCATTTCGATGACAGGTTCACCTAGAGCATATCCGTTTCTGAAAGAACTATTCAGTCTGTGCATCTGAACTATCCAACACTCCGTATGAAAGGCTCACCGAACTACTGTAACCGATGGTTTCCTGGAGAACCCGCCTCACGCCCAGGCAGGTTCCATTCCGGAAGCTCTTGCAGCAACGCCTTTCTTCCAGGCGCTGAGATTCGTTGTTCTCAAAACCATGGCATGATGTTAATCTGCTCTTTACAGTTACCAATCCTGCACCAAAGAACCTGCTGTATTTGCTTGTTTCCAGGGAGCAGGAGTCTTGGGGGAGTTTGTTCACACCCGAGTGCTGAGCAGAAGAAGAAGAAGAAGAAGAGGAAGAAGAGGAAGAGGAAGAAGAGGAAGAAGAGGAAGAAGAGGAAGAAGAGGAAGAAGA